GTAGCTAGATGCCATTCAAGGCATAATATAGGTTTTGAATTTCTTTTTCTTATATTCTTGAGTGGTGCCAAGGAGCTTAGGCGGAAGGGCCATTAAATTGAGCCTGGCATTTAACTCTTCCTAGCAAAGAGAGATGTATATTACACTTTGAGTTATAAATCTTGTAATTCGCAAGTCTAAAATTATAAATAAAAATAATGTGTGAGAACCGCCTGTTCCTTCAAAAAAAAAAAAAATAATAATTCTATATGGTTTTTATATAATTATTTAATTGGTAAAAAATATATTAGGAAAATTTATATTGTAAAATTTATTTTTTACAGCATACATATTTTATAATCATAATCACTAACGCACTATATGATTGTGTAACCAATGGTTTGTTATTTATTAATGCAGGAATTTTCGAGATCCAAAAATTCATGGATTCAGAAATATCGAAACCAAAAAGTTCTGTATTATTTTGTAGCGAGTGTGGCAATTTACTTAATATCGATGGAGAAGACATGGTTACTTGTAATTCGTGCATGTTCAAACGTGTTACTACCGGTATGATTTAAATTTGTTAATTTAAACAACTTCGCAAGAAGCTTAATGAAACATTTATAAAATCGAAGAGTTCGAAGATATTGTAATCACAACTAAAAGTAACCCAAAAAACTTTCCATCAAAATTACGTTTAAAACGATCGAGAATAAAACAACTTGATGTAGATAAAGAAGAAAGTGCCTCGGTACGTTATTCTCACACTCATTGCACGTTGTAAACTTTAATATTATTACGAATAAGTTATATACCAAATAGATTAAAGAAAAGTGTCCAAACTGTGGTAATGAAGAGATGAATTATCATACAATGCAACTTCGTTCGGCCGATGAAGGTCAAACAATCTTTTATAATTGCACTAGATGCGGGTATGTGTCGTTTTGATTTATGTTTATTATTAAACATTGTAATAATATTTCGGCTCATTTATTTTAGATATAAGTTTTCATTAAATTCATAATATTGAAATTTTTAAAATACAAACGACATAAAATACGGATTCTAATAGTTCAAATATTTTGAAAAACAAAGTTATGAATCGATTTTGGAAATTTGCAAATTAAAATGTTATATGCGATATAATTCTTTTTAAATATATAAGAATATATAATAAAAAGCCTTTTATAATCATATTTTTATTCTGGTCCAAGTTAATATAAAACATATTAAAATCATATTAAATCAAACCTGTACATAAGAATAACCTGTATATAAAAAATTTTTTTTAAAAAAATTACTATTGGCCTGATAGCATGACTATAGATAGGTTTTACTTAGTATTTTTTTATTACATAAATATTTTATAAAAATATAAAAATAAAAATATATACTATTATTAATACATGACTTCTTATTGATTCTTTTGAAAGAGTTTATATATTATAAATATAAAAGAAAAGAAAAACAATTATATAATAAATATTATATATACTTAATAATATCTTTTTGTTTTTTAAATAAATATAAATATTATAAATATAATTAATAATAAATAAATAAATAAAAATATATCAAAAAATTTTATAATGTTTTAAAAGATTTTAAAAGATTTATAAATTTTCAAAAAGTTTAAAAAGTCTAAATAATTTAAAATGTTCTAAAAGTTTTTATTTATATAAAATTAGATATAGCAAAAGTAAAAAATTATTATATTATATATAATTTAAATTGAAAATAAAAATATTACATATAATTTTCTAAATAAAATATATAATAATAATAGAACTTTAGAAATACTAATTTATTGCAATTTTTATATATTTAATAAATAAGTATTTACTACTTTAAAAATAACAATTAATTATATAAAATAAATAAATTATAAAAAATATTAAATATCAATTATTAATTATTAAAATTCCTTTTCACTTTATATCTAATTTCTTTTTTAGAAAAACTTCAAAAAATAAATAAAAAACTTCACTAAATTAACAATTTACATAATTATTCAAAAAAATAACAAAAAAAAAAACAATATCAGATATATACTAAAAACAAATAATTAATGCTATACATGTTTCCTTATTATTATAAAAGAAATTTTAATTAACAATATAATTCCAAATTAAATACAATTTCCAATTACTTATTAATTTTCACTTAATAATATAAATATAATATGGATTTCAAAAAATATTTAAATTAAATACAAATACATGTATAATTGATATATTTTATTAAAAAATTATTAAGTAAAAAATATTTCTTTAGAAGAAAAATAAGATAATAAGCTTTTTAATTTATAGTAAGGTTTCAAAAAATTAATATTCATTGTCATCACTATAGCCAATCATATATTAGTTTAAATATCTCTTTAGATATAATATTATAGTAATTGATAAATTAGATAGCCTTATGGCTTTTTTTGAGTTAAAAAAATATTAAAACTTTTTATTAACTATAAAAAATTAAAAAATTCATATTATATATATTAAATTCTTAAAAAACCAAAATCAATTTACTTTTTTCAAATTAAAATAATGCAAAAACCTTTTATTTGAATAAACATCAGAATAATTATTATATATTAACAATCAATAATATGTTAATAGATCTGATATATCAACAAGTCAATATATAAATAAACTTATATAGTAACAAATTTTATATGTCAATTTTGTGTATATCAATAATTAATTTATCAATTATAAACAATTAATAGTAATTCAATAAAGATATAATAATATATTAACAAGTATACTACAAATTAACTTGTATTATATAGCAATTAATATTATATATTAACAAAATATTTATTTCAACAATAAACAATATATATTATACAATAATACTTTTTAAAATATATAAAACATTATTACACCATACAAGATATCCGGTTCATCCAAATGAAAGAGGCAATATGGTTCTGCCCTATATGTGACCCAGAGAAATTTAATCAAGATAATTGGATTCTTCATGCAGCAAGAACAGCCAAGGATCTCAAAATCCACATATGCCCAACAGAGTGTACATTCCGCTGGGATAATGCAGA